ACTCTTTCCGACCTTTGAGCGAATTTTCTCTGACAAACAAATTGCAAATAAAACTCAAAAAAAAAACAATCGAGAGCCACTGAAATAAAAATTAACAATAGATCTTTATAATAACTACGCCATAAAGCATACCTTGATTTCTAGCCGGAGAGGCTGCAATCATCGCCACCGCACCAGAAGCAGATATAAAAAGGAGACAAAAATATCAACAGTCAAATCCCACCAAAAACCTATGGATCTTTAAACAAATCCCACCCAGATCTCATCTACGGAAATGAAAGCTCAAAATGCAGTAGATTACATCAGATTAGCAAAGTGCACAAACAACCGTGAATCTTCCTCCAAACCAAACGCGATTTGACCTAGATCTGATGTCTACCGAAATGAAGAATGAGATCATAGTGGAAATGAAATCAACAAAAACCTACCATTTTTTCCTGATGGGAAAGGGAAGACGCGGAGGACGCTAGCGAGTGGGGATAGAACGAGCAGCTAAAACGCTACGAATCCGCAAGTTCGTAGATCTGGAAGGTGGAGGTATGCTGCGAATTCTCCCGGAAGAAAATCGCGGTGGTGGAAGAGGCTGGGGCTTCAACAGAGAAGACGATACCTCTGTATGAAGAGTGCTGTTGAGATGCAATTAAACTGTTTATGAAATTTTCATTTTATTGATTTAATATTTGATAATAGAACGAAATGTGCATAAATATAAAGTTGAGTGTTGACATATGTAATGTACCTAAATAGGGTGTCAAAAATTGGGAAATATTTACGAACTTAATAAGCATGCTGTGTGCGTAATAATCAGGCAATAAACTCTGTTTTATTAGGTGGTTATTGGGAGGTTATTGATGTATTAATTCTAATAACCTATAATCCTAATAACCTTCCAATAACATTCGTGGGTTCTATTTAGATGTTATTCACAGGTTATTATGAGGGTATTACGGGGTTAATGGAGTAAGCATGCAGAATTACGTGTGTATTACAGACCCAAATATTTCTCCAAAAATTGACCCACTCGATAAATTTTGATTCAGGTTGTCCTGAATAAGTTTTTGTTTAAGTTTGAGTTAGGAATCCCAATCCATTTAATTCTTTAGCTTGGGTTCGAGTTGGCCCATCAATAGGTAATTGATCTAAACTAACCAACTAACCTGAAATGGACCTGAATTTGGGTCAAAATCGACTCGATTTTAACCCAAATAGATATTATGTCTTATGTTTTTCTAGTATATGAGTCAGGTTCGAGTTAGCGGGTTCAAAGCGAGTCAACTTTGGTCGGACTTTCTAACCTCATTAATATTTGAATTAGGTTTGAGTCATATTGAATCCATTTGAGATGTGAGATTTCGTATGATTAGTGAATTCCTTCTATAATAGAAATACTTGGAGAAAGGAGTGAGAAGAAGTTGAGCTTGTTCGTCGAGAGAGAGAAAGATGATCATAGTTTTTCTGGGGTCTAAAATTGAGAGATAATTAAGGGTCTAAAGAACAAGACAAAAGGTTAGGTTATAGATTGTACAATGTGAAACCTGAGCAAACTCGTTGTTGACACTACTACCGATGTGGATTATCATTGTAAGTTAGAAATTCATTAGCATGAATTTGGAGGAAATTCAATGGACTAAAAAACGAAAGTGCAGACAATAATGACTTGCTAAAAGGAGAGCAAGAACCACATTAGTAGAAGACCAAAGGGTCTCGTTGAGAAGCTAAGATCAAGACCCGTGGGCGACCGAATGAAGGTCATCCAAGCCAAAGATCAAGACATATCGAACAGAGAAAAGAAACTGATCCATCTTTCATCTAAGCATCGTCAGACGCCTTGTAGGAGTTTAGAGGACTCTTCATAAGGTCTAAGATTCTCATCTCTAAACATTCAATGAACTCCATATATGGTTCTCTTATTAAAGGAGGGGACTAACTGTCAGATTATGGTGAATTGCCCTCTGTCAGATGGCTTAGTTTCATCCTAACAACTTGAGTTTTCCATCTAAAGGTCAATGGTTGACAGTCGTATCGAACAACCTACCCGCTGATTCAAGCTGACTGAGTGAAGCTCAGACTATTGAAGGATCACCAGAGTCGGTTGACTTCCTTAACTTAGCATAATTGATTGAACGTACTTTGTTGGCCTAAGGATTACAAATCCTTATCGATAGAGTGATAGGGTAGCCAAATCATGGGCTTATTTATTTTTTATATGCCAAAAATATCTTGTAATATCCCCATAAAAGCAACGACATCAATGTAAATTTTCACTTTCTTCTTCCTTGCTTATGAATAGGGGAGTCATTTCAATAATAAGGGGTTAATAAGTCATCTTTAAATTTGTCAAAATTTTATCGTGTACTCTCTCTTATCCTCCTCTCTTTCTCTCTCTCATATTTTACGTTATATTTCTTAGGTGTAATTCACATGATAGATCTGGATTCAAAATATTGAAATGTACGGTGAGCGTGAATGATGCCACCAACAAAAAGAAGAGCACCAAGAGAACAAGCCCATAAAGGATACACAATAAACATGGAGTGCATTAGGAAATTTGGATGGCAGCATATCCAGGAGCTAAAATACCTGATGTTGGGCCAAATGTTAGAGGCCGTTGGAGAAGCAGTAGCAGGAAGGAGGGGCCAAACCCTTAGGAAGAATTTAGATCCAACAATCGGAGGGCACTATTGATTGAGGAAAGAGCAGAAAAACCCCAGTATCAACATAATGTGTGTTCTATGTTAATGTAAATAACATTTTGGACGCACGGAGGCCCCGTGGCAGCAGGAGAATTCATTATGTCGATAGATTTTTGTCATTAACCCCCCAAAAAGTTCAAAGTTTCATCACTCGACTCCTACAAATGTCAGGTTGATCTGATCGACCAAATTTCATCCTTCTAGTCAGTTGTTTGCCTATTGAGGATTATCGATGCTTTGAAGTGTTGATTTCACCATGATGGGGGAGTCGGTTGTCAGGTGGTTTAATGGATCACCCGTTAGGGTAATCAACACCTTTTATTGAATTTAAGAAGATGTTCGTTGCATAATTTGTCGGGCCTGGAAGTCATGGAAGAGTTTGCAAGCTCTATGATAGGTCAGGCAAGGGCAAAATGAGAGACTCCACTCATATATAACTCAATTCCATAAGAAGATGTTGGAAGTACGGGACATGAAATCCGCAATGGCATATGCTGCATTGTCCAACGGGCTGAGAGGAGAACAATTTTGATATGCCCTCGACTTGCAACAACCAAAAACCTTGGTAGAGCTATTGGAGATGACCAACAACCATTTCACAGTTGAGGAGTACATCAACGGTCCCATCTACCATAAAGTTGAATCAAATGGCCATCTCTCCCAAAAGAATGCCCTGCAAAATAATGGGTGGAGACTAAGGGACAACTAACGTCCTCTATCCTTCTTTTGCATGAAGACAAACTGCCACCCCAGAACAGCAAGGGGGTCGATGGGAGCAATCAGCGAGGTGGTCGGTGAGATACGTTGACCAATTGTCATCTCGCTATCATGAGTGGCCAACCAACGACCATGAGGCGTCGATGGCTACTTGACCAAGAGTCTTGATGATGGAGTGACAGCGACTTTATATATGCTTAAAAATATAAGTATTTAATACTGCTGCTAAAAGATTTAATTCATCAGCAACTGCACAAAAAACTTAATGACAGTTATAGATTTGATAAAGATGTATGTATAAAATATTTAATAATTGTAAAGCCACACTTATCAATGCGAGTATATGTATCGCTCAAGTAATATAGGGTTCTAATGGAGTCCTAGATATCGATCCCACAAGGAGTAATATTAGAACTACGAACTAAGATTTTAAAAAATAATACTTAATCGCAACAATAGAATTTAAAGTGTTTATCTGTCACTAATAGACAATTAAAATAAATATGTAATTTTAATAACTCATAAATAACTAATTATAATAATAAAATTTTTAATGTGATATTCAATATATAAGAAAACATCATTCTCCTTGTCAAGAAATTATAGTGAATGAATAAAGTGAATCAGTTCAAATTGTATTGTGTCAAATAGGAGTATATCTATTCTTTATCATTTGGTCCAGGCATAAAGAACATTGACTAGTCCTACGCTTGTTTACTGAATCTGCGGCTAGGCTGGGAGGATACCGGCTCTCACTTCGAAGCTCCCACGTTCCCCTCGCTTGAGGGCTAACATCTACACTTCAGTACCCAAACGATATGACTGAATTGGGGATTTTAGTCTGTCACTCTAAAATCTCCAATTCTACGCCCGATAATTTTATTTCCCTATTTATTTGCACCCAACTTCCAAGGGCTTTGACCTCCCTGAATCTTGGATGTAACATTCACTTTAGTTGTAAAACTCAACATATTTTAACAAATCAATTGGCCGGATTGAAAGTAAATTAAGATCGAAGTGAAAAGATCATCACAATTTTTTTAATATTTTCATTGCTCAACCAATTCAAATCACCATTTCACAAATCTCAAGACAAGGAGAAAGACAGGGAAAACTACTCAGATCTCATGGGGAAAACACAACAAAAGCAAAGTCATACAAACTACAACAAGTAAATAAACTTATCTTTAATTTCTCCCCACGCAACTCCTCGAAGTTCATCTGAATCTCTTCCTTTCTTTACAGCACACAGAATTCCTCTTCGAAACAGCAAAGAGGAAGAAATCTCTCACTTTCCCTCCACTCTTACAATCTCTCAAAGAATTCTTCACAATTTAGACTTTCTACACTTTCCTAACACTTAACTCTTTTGCCTTTCCTCTCTATTTTCGGCCAAAGTCTTCTCTTTAAAGATGTGGATGGGTTTTCTCAAGAGTTACCCAAGCATCCCTCAAAAATTCGTCCTCATCCAATGCATGGTTGGACATAACCGCCGATCTCGCCGTCGGCGACCTCGAGGGCGTCGTCGGCGAGCCTTCTAAGTGAATTAAATTTGGAGTCTCGGGAAAAGTCCTTCGTTGGCGCCGTTGGGCTCGCCGTCAGCGCCCAAGTTCAAATCTTCACATTTTGACCATTTTCGCTCCAAATTCGCTCATTTTTGCTTCTTTTTGCTCCAATGACCCTAATTTAACATTCCTGCAATAAAATATCAAAAATATATTTTTTAAAGTGCAATATCATAAAAAACAGTATAAAAAAGATATGAAAATCTTAACTTATTTTATTTTGGTCACGGAGTTAGTGGATGCCATCCAAAATTAGGAGTACTCTAAGATGCACCCTTAATGTGGGTCAGAGCTTTTCTCCATGACCCCAATAAGTATTGTGCTTACCACATAGATCATGATCACAACATGAAGGAGAAATGGTATAAGAGTGAGAAGCTCAAAGGAGTTCATGGAACATGGAGCGATGACCTAGAGGAACGAAAACGCTCCAACAAAAAAAATTAAAGATGAACTTGTGCAGGAAAATGCCATCCACATCAATGGTTTTGTGTTAGCAATTTTTTCAGTTAGAGAACCCTCCATACAAGCCAGCCATAAGAGGTTCTAATCAGGAGAGGTTTGCACAGCCGCCTTTGGTCCAAAGCACAACCTCTATCCGCCAATAAAGTTTGATGTTGTGGACTTTCTCTAGAAGGGGATCCATGTAATGACATTGTTGTCAAGACAACGATGATTAATAATTTCCAA